CATAAATTGCATCGTGTTAATGGTGATTCTGTTTTGCAATTTTGACGTAGTCTGACGCGATACGTAATCTTACGCAATCATTTGAAATCAACAGCGTCTTTTATGCGCATTTTTTAACAAGCCCCGAATCTTGTGTGGAAATATATTTTTTGTGACTGAACAAGGTGTATGTACATTTGTGATAGATACAATTAGTCGAGGGCTTCAGCTGGTGCGTTACTTATGCGCGCTATTTAGCTCATTCGATGAAATTACGGCTGCAACGACAACTGCACGGCAGCTACGGTCCATGCGAGCCGCCCCGGTGCGACAGCTACTGCCCCGCCCGCTCCACGCAGCCGACTGACCGGCCAAGGTCACTACCCCGTCCGCCGGGAGGGCGGAGCTTAATGGTCACGTGTTTGTGACGTCACACCTACGCACGGATAGCCTCTACTCCACTGACGGATTTACGGAGCCGATTTTCCCCGCGTTCGATGTCTCCCGGACGGCAAAGATTCTATGCCGTCCGGGCCCGAAATGGCGTTCGATGTCGCACGGACGGCAAAGATTCTACGTGACGTCACGTAGAATCTTCGTCGTCCGCGCAGAATCTTTTGAGCGTACTACGGTGAGCAGAGAGGCAATGATGGCGCGTATTTCAAAAGCGGCGCAGCAGCTGTTTGCAGAAGTTGTTGACATTTGTGCACGGTCTCTATGGAAACGTAAACTCGGGCCTTTTTCGAAACTGACGCACATTGTGTAAGTGGCGCACAAAATGGCCGGTCTCGCCGTCCGCCTGTGTGCTTCATCGAACGCAAAATAGAATATTCTGCGTAGAATGTTCTTCGTCCGAGGAGACATCGAACGCGGCCTTTAACATTACGAGGCAACGACAAGTACCCTAAAATTTGATATTTTGTTAAGAGACCATATTGGCGAAAATTGGCGCTTGAGCTGAAATGTGCATTGTGAAAATTTGAAGCAAATTGGACAAATAGTAAATAAATTATCGCCGAAAATTAGGGTCTCATGGGGTCTGAAAAGCATAGTAGATGGCCATGTTTGCGCTATAACTGTGCGTTTTGATAGATGCGTTTGAGGGGGCATTAGTTTGGGTGTGGGAACTTTTGATTTTTATTTGTCTTATTTTGTCGGAGTTGGATATTTGTTTGAACGGCATGGTATGCTGGTGCTGGTTGCGGGTTGTTAGAGCCTTTCTCATGGTTTGCCTTTATCGAACTCAAACCCACCCTATCCTACCCTAACCTACCCATACCCTACCTTACTGATAACACATAGTTACCCTTCTCATACTCGATTAAAGTAACGTACCAAATTTGAGCGCAATCGGCCCAGCCGTTCTTGAGATATAAAAGCGGCCCGCTGCACGTGCGCACGCGCTAACTGAGACTCTAGATGACTTATTCCAGCCACCCTTCTAAATTGTTCCTAACGGTGTACAAAATTTGAGCGAAATCGGCCCAGCCGTTCTTGAGATGTATAAGTGCACCCCTCACGTGCGCACGTGCAATCGATCCACCCTACCTGTCACACATGACCATGCATCGCCAGATGAGTGCCCCCTCCACCCACAGTCCAAGTTTCAGCGCAATCGGCCCAGTAGCAGCTGAGTTATTCCTAGTACAAAAATGTGCTGTTTACTGGTAGGCGCTTATTTTCAGTGTTTGGAATTCCCCTTGGCGGGCGGTGTATCGCAGCCCATGCTTTGATAGCTATTGTCAAAAGTTGAATGACTTGCCGGCCATAAGCCATCGATCGGATTTTGTCGAAAAATACCGGTAACGTTAACAAAACACGGTCACATGCTTGAGTCATTTTCACAAAAGTTTATTGACTTTTCGATAATATTTTGGGTGGATATTGGTCAGAAAAGAATGCTCTTTCCGAATATGTAGGTTTCATAGCGATTGATCAGCGTTTTCAAAACGTTTTGATGTTGTAAAGGACGTCGCGCTCCGCGCGAATCAAATTTTCAAATTAATTTTTCATTATTAAGGAAATGGTACGGATCATCAGTTTTTGTTTGCTATTCTCTGATAACACATACATTTGTCTGCAAAATGATACAACACCGATTTCATTCCGTCAAGCCGTTTTCTAGCGACATCGGTTTTCTTCCCACAATGCATGAAATCGGTCATTTTTTCACAACCGGGGGTGCTGTCTTGCACGTGGCGCGTGCTATACTATGAAACCATATCAATACGCTAGGCCCATCTCTCCTCTATCCAGTGGTGGCAACCCCACCTCGCTACGGCAATCTGTCGCCGAGTGTTGGGCCCGGGAAGTGGGCGCCGCAGGCCGGTTTTCGCCCGATCTTCGATTTGACCGTTTCCCGTGTTAACCCTATGGCGCACGCGAGCGCGTGCTGACGGCGCACCCCTGGGCTGATGACCCCCAAATTTTAATACAGAGGTCCCCCACGCCCACAGATACGGCATGCCAAATTTCACGCCGATACGCGGCGCCTTTCAGGCGCAATAAGACACATAAGTCATGACGGATTACGCACGCACGGACGACTTATAATATATATTAACACATGGTTTCCCGTGTGTAAATGGTTTTAACGCACGACGTGGATGGATTGGAGCACGAGTGTGTTAATGCACGAGTGAAACGAGTGCATTAACGCACAAGTGTTAAACTAATTAATACATGCTTAACGGTGCGAATTTAAATTAAAATTAATCTTAGTCCATGGCATTAAAGGGGCTTTTTATGGGAATTCTTAGAAGAAAGTCAATGACCCTTCCGAAAAACTTAAGTCGAGAAATTCATCACTGCACGAGCGTGCACCAATTTAAATTGGTGCACGGCTACCTTCGAATTAACGCACGGTTAATCTCCAGTGAACGCACCGTAAAGTATGTATTAATTCATAATATAGATACGATAATGTCGCCGAATGTGATTCCGTGCATCACGTGAAAATAATGTCATCTAGTTATAATCTAGTGTAACATTCCATGACATCGGCATTGACATTGCACAGCGCTTCCAGGCCTCCAGTTGCTATTTAAACATCTCAAATCATCCGTTTTAGATGTATGACAGCAGGCAAGTGGGACCACCACATTGTAGTCATAACAAATGATCTATGGTCTTTAATGCGCCTTGCTATGAGCGGAAGTGGTAACATGAAATGTAATATCATTTGCATGCATCACTAAACGTTCTTGTTTAGTGATGTGACTGCTCTGACCTCTGTCACCGCTAAACTGCATTGTAGCGTGTATCTAACTATGTACAGGTCTCGGGGGTTTTAGCGGTAGGTTTTGCACCTAGAAAATTTTGTGTACTTCAGGCTATATCCTCGTCGTCTTAAGCTTTTAAGTCTTGAAGATGCGATCGACTTGTTGGTTCACAAGCCGGCCATGATCGTGTAAAATGGCTTCATCGTAGATCGATTAGTTTCTGAGATATAAACGGAAATGTTAAAGTGCAAAACCTACCGCTTTATCTCGCGAGAGTCGTACATACCTACTTCTAGTATCTATGTGACCTTTCCCAGTGTAAATAGCCATTTGAGTCTTCGAAATCCAGACCTATATGTGTAGTTATTTCACGATGAAACGTCCAGTTTTTTTACGCTCTTCCGGTATAAGGAGACGATTTCACAGCCGGAAGGATGATGGGAATAAGGGGAGACATTGGTCTGGGCGGGCACCTTGGTGACCCGTCGGGGCTCAGCCCTTCACGTGGACAGGCCAACAGCCACTGCACCCGGCTACGAGCCTGCTCCTGGGTGGAGCTACCCGCATGGGATAAAGGTGAACGCCCAGCCCGGATCTTAGGGTTGAGGTGTGGAGGAGAAGGACTTTTGAGCATCCTGAGGATGGGAACGTCGGAACGGACGTCAAGTGATACAATTAACGTTGGCCTTGAATACAGAAAATGGAAGAAACGAGCTACGTACCAGCAAAACAAAAAAGCCTCGAAATGATTTTCACGCTTTCTTATCACGCTCCTATCCCTAAATCATACGGATCACCTAAAGGCGCGGGAACCGGGGGGGCAGGTTGCCCCTCACCTCTGGGGCCGTGGGGGTGGTGCCCCCACATTTTTGAGACGGAATACCGCACTTTTTTGTATGTACCTAAATGTTTTCTTTTTTTTGTTGACAAAGGCAAAGCCAAGGGATGAAAAATAAGCATGGCCTAAAGCCCGTGAGAAAACTAGATTTGGGGGTACCCTAGGTTGATCTCTATCATGGTGTGCCCCCCCCCCCCCAGTCTTGAAAGTAGCATCCGGGCCACTGCCCTAAATCATCTGATTTCATCCCTAATCCTCGCCTATAGCCGTGCGGCGTGCCTACGTCCCTCGCACTCCATGCCGCGAGATATGCAGCCTTCAGCCTGAATTAGCTTCTGGCGTCAGTTGTGCTGCATTGCACACAAACCGGAAATCACCAGTTTGCCGGAGAATCTGCCAATGACAGGTCAGGGAAGGCGTGCGCCGGCGACTGGCCGCCACGTGCTCGACACATGCTGGGCGGCGCCCAATTAGTCTTGCCGTTGCGTCACAGCCGTCTGGGCGCGGCGGTGGGTGTGGGGCGCGGTCTGTCAGATCCTGCCGCCAGTGGTGACTCGCCTGCCCAGCGCTCGCTGGCGGGCCTCCAAACGGCAGTGGGAGGAGACTGTGCAGTGCACGCTCCGTGCACGGTCCCGGGGGTTAATGGTCTTATTATGCTGCCGCTCCCGTTATCGCCGGACGACCGCGCCATTTAACCCCGCCTGGTATATGCCACCGTGGTGCCATCCTGTCGGCCAGGCTCTGGAATTACCTCAGATCTATAACTTCCAAAGCTGGAGTCTGAAGTAATGCGGCACGTGTAAATTGTCATCATATTTATGCCTGTATCAATATCATGTCAGTCGATATCAGACATAAGCCCATGAATAAAGTACCGCCCTGTCACCACCCAGTACGCGCTGTGGTGGGATGGTTATTAGTCAATCATTTACTGATGGCATGGCGGTGCCGACTTTCCGCAGGAACCTGCCTCGCGCCATCGGCATGGCCATGCCCATTGTGACGCTGGTGTACGTGGCCGCCAACGTGGCCTACTTCTCCGTGGTCTCGCCGAAGGAAATGCTCGCCTCCCCAGCCGTGGCAGTGGTGAGTGTGTAGGTACACTGTATACATCTGAGTATATATCTGAGTATACTCACTGTATACACTGAGTGTGTACATCTGAATCCACTCTCTGTAATACATACAGGGTGACACAAAAAAAAGCGGTCATCACCAAAATTCGAATAACTTCGGAAGTTTTATTCAGATCATCACAAAACTTCGGCCACTTTAGGTCACACCTATGTAGCATACATCCACCAAATTTCAAGTCTTCACTACGAATACTTTTAGTACAGTGTGTGTTTTACTGACGCTCCACAATGTGCTCCAGGTGAGCGCCCCGGCGCTGCAGGGCGTAGGCACACCTGCATCCGGCGGGCAAAGTTGTCGATAACCCGATGGCTGTGCACTTTACAGAGTGCAATGGCCTCTGGAGACAGTGCTCAGGGGGTGTGCTACCCCTGAAACGTTATTCTTATCGGGTTATCGACAACTTTGCCCGCCGGGTGCAGGTGTGCCTACGCCCTGCAGCGCCAGGGCGCTCACCTGGAGCACATTGTGGAGCGTCAGTAAAACACACACTGTACTAAAAGTATTCGTAGTGAAGACTTGAAACTTGGTGGATGTCTGCTACATAGGTGTGACCTAAAGTGGCCGAAGTTTGGTGATGATTTGAATAAAACTTCTGAAGTTATTCGAATTTTGGTGATGACCGCTTTTTTGTGTCACCCTGTATTTTAAAAATATTGCTTGACTGGTACTTGTTGTCTGGTAATTACCTACTTACTGTTCGCTCTTAATGAGCCTGGTTCCCAGAAAATTAGTGGGAAGTAAACAACTCGAGATGACGTGGCAGGATAGGTATGGTATGGATGCTCCGAAGGAACATGAAACGCCAACTTCAGATATTGCGTCGGCATAAACATTGTGACCTCAAGCTACTTTTACCGTAAATATATTATTTGTTGCTAAAGCTTCACCAGACGGGGAAAATGAATCAGACTTGCATTTGACACATTGAGGGCACAAATTAAATATTCAATTATCAAATTGCAGCATTTATGAGGGCATGTGTATTGCCCTGTTGCGTCAACCCTGCCCAAATAAAGTTGCAGTCTCACTGACGTCTGGGTCCTGGGATCATGGCACTGTCTCGATTGTAACTTCCACTTCCCCTACCCGCAGTCGTTTGGCGACAAGACGTTCGGCGTGATGGCCTGGTGCGTGCCCGTCTTCGTGGCCCTCTCCACCTTCGGCAGCGTCAACGGCATCATCTTCACGTCGTCGAGACTGTTCTTTGTGGGCGCCCAGGAGGGCCAGCTGCCCGCCCTGCTGTCGTTCGTGCACACGGAGCGCGGCACGCCCGTTCCGGCGCTGCTGACACTGGTGAGGGGCCCTTAAAAGGCCTTGGAGAGACCAAGCCAGCCGAAAGTGTCGCTGTTGATTGTTTTAATTTAGCGATGCATGACATTGAATTATTGTAATGCTGTTTTGTTATAAGCCAATATACATGCTTGCCATGTTTAACTAAAAGAAAAAAGTTACTGCGTGAAACGTAAAGCAAGGTTACCTGACATTATTTTACATTTCACGGAAATACAATGTGTCGACAGTGTTACGTTCACAGTGAACAGTGTCGTTACCTCGCCGCCCGCCTGTGTCCTGACGCGGCGCGTCCCGCACCCGTTCTCAGTACGGCCTATCTCTGGTGATGGTGGCGCTCGGCGACAATGTATTCCAGCTCATCGACTACGTATCGTTTGTGCTGTGGTCGATGGTGGGCGGTGCCGTGGCTGGCCAGCTCTGGTGGAGGTGGGTGCGGTAGCGGCTCCTGGGAGAGCTCTTAGGTATAGAGACCGGAAACACCCATTGGCGGCGGTCTACAACCGCTGAGAATTTTGCATCAAAATGGCTTTGTTCTGGGTGCATCAAGACTCAATTAGCTCTAACCTCATTGACACCATAGTCTGTGATAAAATACAACGCATTTTTTTCTTCGATGAACAACGATGTAGTTGAAAGCATCTCGAATGAAGTATCTATTGGCTATTGCCATTTTCAGCTGCAGCACACTGCATTCTATCGTGGCTTTGAGACCGTTCAATGTGAATATCCGTGAAGTTCAATGTGACAGGATAATTTTGCATTCAATCTTGAGATCCCGTTTTAATGCAGCGTTTTTCTACTCTGACAGATACAAGAAGCCGGACCTTATTCGTCCGATCAAGTTCAACATCACCATCCCGATCGTCTTCTTCTGCGTCTGCGTGTTTCTGGTGGCAGTGCCGCTGATCGTTCAGCCATTCAACGCCGGTCAGTACCCACGACGGGAACGAACCATATTGTGTGGCAGGCCTGGAAGCGTAACTTTCTTGTGATAATAAAATAATAAACTGAAATATTTACCAATAAATGGGTGTATAGGTAATGACCCGCCGGGGACGCGCTATCAAACCCCAATAAACCAACAATAAAATTATCAATAATCATGGATGATAAAATGTCATATTTAAAGCTTATCTTTCTAAATGTTCCGCCTGGATGTCGAATTTCCTTTCCCACAAATGCTCCTTGACTTCATTTACTGTCCAGCTCTGGGTTAGAGGCGTGGGTTCGCGTAAACGTCTACGATGCAAGATATATTGCTGCATTTGATTTGTATATCAGCAATGACTTATTTCTACGCATTTACCTACATCGTCGTTAATGCCGAATTTGAATGTTTGTAATTTTGTAACGCTTAATGCCAGAAAGTTTGAAAATAATATATTCCTATCCAAATTTGCCAGACTTCACTCTCAGCATAATGACCCTCTGTTTTCCGCCCATTGAGGCTGGTTGCTCATGCTATCAGTGACGTTTTCATGGACTTTTTGCAGGAATGGGTGCGCTGATCGCCCTCTCTGGCATTCCCGTCTACCTGATTGGTGTCAAGTGGACGAACAAGCCCAAGTGGCTCCTGCAAGCCGACCGTGAGTTCAGTAACAGCAACAACATTTCGAATCATAGTCCATTTTGACCGTGAATAACATTTATTTGCTATTTAATAGCATGGTGACGAAAATTTTGAAAACATTGGTCTGCCTCCCAATAAGGCACCGTACAAAATATATCCATACTACTAATACTAAAAAATTGAGGCCATTATCGTCCTGAAAGCATCATTTAAACCATATGACACGACTCGTTGGAGACAACAAAATGCATAGACCGTTGCATCGAATGTTGCACCGTAATGTACCGTAATCGGTAACAGAGGTGTGATTTTGCACGATTTACCAAAAAGCCGGTTCTTTCTCTTTCTCACGCAACAAAGGTGTGGCCCCGTTCCTCCATCTCCGACTTAGATGACCTACGGTGGGATGCACTCATTCATGCCATGATTTGTGCCCACAGACCGGATAACGAAAGCCTTGCAAAAGCTGCTGATGGTCGCTCCGCAGCGTGAGGACAAGCCGGAGCCGCTGCTTCCCATGGACGAGAAGCCGGTGCCGGCCTGAGCCCGCGTCTGAGCGCCGCGGCAGAACCGACGCATCTGTCCGCATATCTCATACCGGCGATCGAATGGCCAAGGCGCGCGACCACACTTATTTCAGCGCAACGGTTCTATTAAAACAGTGATTTGTTAAGCTATGTGTCCAGCAGTTTGGACGATCGCTATGTTCTGTGCCATTGGATGTGTTCAACCTGTGTTCAAATGGTCATCAGCGTGGTGCCAGTCTTCTGCTTAATGTGTTCATATCGTGAGCTGGTTCTAAGCAATCTATCTTACAACCTTAGGAAAGTCCCAGTTTTAGCGGCACATAGGGTTTTGTCCTATTCGCATTTTACCATTTGCTTTCCCTGGGCTGTGAACTTCACCTAGAGGATCATGAATGCCTATTATCAGATTTTTTACTCCATGGAGCGCGCTGTTTTTTTACATTGAAAGCTGAAACTAGAAATACGCCGTCATCATCCAACAAACAGCACGATTTCCAACTTGAACATATTCAAACCGAGAAGTTACTTCTCTAAACCCATGTTAAGATTATATTCATCTCACTTAATTTTTAAATCTATCACAAAATTGGTGTGCTCTGATTACGGTCACAACTTAAGCGATTTAAGACGTCTCACATACAGGCAACAACATGGGGAACTTCTGGAAACGCTTGAATGTTTCTCATGCTTGAGTCATGTTCACGACATGACATGTCGATGCAAAGGTCTGCAGCAGGTCAGAAAATTATTGCACTTTCCAAAAGTCAAGTAATTTTCTTCAGCCGTTTCTAAACAGTATTCTTGCGCACGAAAGTAATGCCACGTTCTTCTCATATGTGATGTGTCGACTTGAAGTATGGTGAATAATGCCTGGGCACATACCTAAAGGAAAAGGGTCACCTTTAACATGGGGTTTGAAACTGAGATGGCCATCTTGAAGCCCGTGTCCGAAAACTCCGAGAGTGTCCCACCTTACGGCCGATTTCGGCCTCCATTTGTAGGTATCAGCAATTTTAAAAGAAAATATGCCAGGAATGCGTCCTTATCCCAGGAATGCGTTCTTATCCTGTAGTACAGCCACCCGCGGCGAGGCTTTGGTTTTTAACCAATCAGCTCCAATCAGCTCAGCTTTAACCAATCAGCTAATCTGACACAAGCCGACGAGACTGTCTTCTGAAGGCTGATTGGCTTGAGTGTGATGTCATCGCTATGACATCATACAGAAGGTGCGGTAGAGAGTACAAACATAGTACCAATATGTTAAATAGTTTGACATACTTTTTTGCGAATTATGCACTTCTGGTACCAGATTTAAAAAGAACATGAAAAATAATAATGTCAAAATGAAAAGCAACGATATCTTCATATTTCACGAAGGTGGCACTTTTCCTTTAATTGACATCAATTCGAAAATATTTACTCGGTACAGAATTATGTTCCTTTTTTCGCAGGCAATCAGTTGCCTGAATAGGTAGGCTGTGCCGCAATGCACGGGCCGAGTTCACTGTTGAATCCTGTGACACAATGGTCACCATAGCCACACTTAATTGCGCGATGAACGGTGCAACTTAGCGTTTTATTCAACTGATACCTTCTGAGGAGTGGAACATCATTCTGTAGTCAGCTATACATATACAATGCTTAGTTTTTCTCGCAGCAAACTCGTGACAAGGCTGAGTTCTGCGTTCAAATCTTTGTCTGCTTCTTTTTTTTTAGGAATCTTGAAAATGGAATATGCTATTTGTATATGATATGTAATGCGAAAACTAACAGAAAGATCCAAATTCATTTGCTTATTGGGTCCCCTGGCCCGATGGGTGTCGTTGCTGTTTCGCTCTAGCCGCGGAATTTGATTGAGAAGTATCTACCGGGTGTGCAGCTGGCGCTACTGGCGCCGGTTCACCCATCCGTGCGACTCAGTGCAGAACGCTCGCCGTGTCCTGATAGTCAGCCTTGCAACGGGAGCGTATTAACCTTAGATGTGCTTGTATGTATATATGCTGCTGACACTAGCCTATACAGGGACTTGTAAGAGGACCCGGTTTCCATAACAAAGTGGAAAACCTGTGAGACTTACGGACCTCTGCATGACATCTATCTGTCATATTATGCACCCAAGGGACCAATCAAAGCCTCGTGGCTGCCTTCCCATGCTATAGCTGTCATGTGCTACGCCGTCGTCCGTCGAGTCCCGTTTGTTCGGGGCTGCAGGACTGTACGTGGCCGTTTCATATAGCCCAGGGTAGGCGCCACCTACAGCCGAATTTCGGCAACGGTTGGACTGTGTCCACCAGATCTAAGTATCGGTCGCAGGACGTCTGCGCTGACCCCGGTGTGCAAGGCCACCTTAAAGGGACATGTTCATCTTGACAAAGTGAAGCTACTGAGTGCTAGTGCTGAAACACAGATATAATATATGGAAATTGCTAATCCAGCTGCATTAACTGCTCAGTCGACAAGGCCGGCGAAATACTAGGTGTATATGTAGGTACCTGTATGCTGCAAACAACGCACTAAAAATCCTGTATACAGGATTTTCATAAGTCCTGTTAAGTCCTGTATATTTTTATAAGATATATAAAGTCAGCGCCCATATATGGGCGCTGACTTTATATCAGCATATACAAATATGTGGTTTAGGTGTGGCTTACGTCTCATTTGACTAATTTACATGCTTTGTTTTATTTATTACCCCACGCTGGCATGTGAAAAATGTATTGTTTTATTAACCCGGCAGTTGCTGGGGTATTTCGCCACCCACCGTTTGCTGGGGGGGGGGGGGGGGGCGTTAAACGCCCCCAGCCGATAACTCGAGAACCAATAGGCGCAGCGAAACGCACGAGGCGGCAAACGAAAGAGCGCGACGAGACGCTTCAGATGAGTACTTTAAAGTTGAATTTTGAGGTCACAGGTCGGGTCAAGGTCAGGTGAAACACCTGAAATCGGGCTTTCAGTAGCATGGACTTGAGGACTTCGCAATGGGCGCCTCTTGCCATACACTCTGTGAAAACGGTGCACAATCCATCTTATAAGGCCTACAAGAGTGTCAGCTCCATGTAGGGGTCAGTCAAGCATAGGTCAGGGTCAAGGTCAGGTCAACCGGGTAGGCACATATCCCCGAAAATCAAAACTGATATTCGCAGCCTGTGACACATGTGTTATAGGTAATTTGGGGCTTAGAACACGATGGTCACATTCATTTTATCATATGTGTACGTGTTTGGCTCAAAAAGTTCAATTTAAGAAATTCATGTATCATGGTCGTGAAGTAGTCACGAAAAATTGCCAAGATTCAGTTCAAGATTATGGAAAATGCGGAACGATAATCAATAATCGAAGATAGCTTTTTGATTGACCATGGTATTGGCAGTCTAATGACGTTTACGGCATGTCTGTATGTCTATTCTGTGATTTTATATGATTTTTGGAACATATGCCGTTTTTGGTCGAAAACTCAGAAATCATGACGTCATTAAAACCTCGATATCTTAAAAATTTTCCGACCGATTTTTCTGAAACTTTGTCACAATATACTTCAATCAATTTACTACAGGTACCCAAAATTTGGCGCGCCTGCGGTGCGCCGTTTTTGTGCTATGGCCCGGCGAAAAAAGTGGGGGCGTTTAACGCCCCCCCCCCAGCAACTCGCGGGTTAAGATGCTTTCTAATAAAGGGAATCCCATCCCAAGCCGCTGCAAGAGATAATTGGCTGAACAGCGGCTGCATAGCATTTTTTTTAAACTACAAACAGTTCTAATGATGATGATGATCTTGCCTTCTGGCCAACTTATTTTTGCTATTTTTCCGACCATGTTCACAAGCATGCTCACATCTTGCAGTGAGATTAATAACTGGCAAACCTAATCGCCATCTCAGACAATGCTCAGACGAGTGACTCCGAAAAATGGGGTGCGGATCAGCCTGATCGGTCCAAGGGGATCAAATATCCAATCTCAACTCCATTTCTCATGTTGAAGGTGAACATGTCCTTTTAAGCCCCTAGCGCCCCCGATGTCAGTGTAGCGTCAGTCTACGTGTAACGTCCTGTTTGTATGGGTGCATGATTGCCTGCAGTTGAGGAAACTTTTGTTTGGTGACCAAGACGAAGAGGCCTTGTTTTTTTTTTAATTAATTAGGAGCGGGGTATGCCTTCTATTGGCATTTATACTTCCTTCAAGATATACGCCTTATGTGAGGATTTCTTTAACTAATGAGAAAAAAAAAACACTAGAAGAAACTTTAGAATACGGGTGTTCTCAACAGAATAATCAACATTTTTGGCTCTATTTTGTCACAAAATATAATGTTGGTATGGTCTTCTGGCCTGTAGGGCTTTATTTTAAAGTTTTATGACGTGTTTATTTTTGCCGGTTCCGTTTTGTGGCTGAAGGGGTGGCATAAGTGGTCTTGCGCTTGTCCGTGCGTGTGGCCTCACGTCAGTAGGTATTATACTATGAGCGCTATTTCGAGCCGCGTCGGCGGATTTGGTTGGTGTGCGAGCCTCTTGTGTCTCCTGATTCATTGTTTTATTAGATTGCTGTTATTGTAAAATGTAAATACTTAAGCTTCCACTGTCGATTTACCTATGCGAATTGATGTTACGTTTCCGGTTATAAACTTTTTGCGTATGCCTCGCAACGATAGATGTCCAATAATTGTTCATTCAACACGCTTAATGTTCCGACATCGCATTAAAGTTAAATCAGTTTTTTTTTGTTGATGTTCAGCGCTCGTAAATAAAGCAGCAATGTAAAATAAAGGAACAATGGTGTTGTGGATTCGGTTGGGTTTCATATCGCGATTCGCGGTCAAACAGAACACTCGTTGACGGCTGAAGATGTGCTCGCTACTGCCAGGAAGAGGGCGGTCAGTTCCTGTCCCCGGAGCCACTCGTAGAACAACTGCCCGGGTTCGGACGTGGCCGCCGGCCCAGCACGGTCACATGTGGCCAACACATGTCCCACTGCCTGGGCGGCTGAGCACCGGCTGGCCGGAAGGGACGGCACAAACGGTGGATAAACAAAACACGCGTCTGAACTCAGTCGGACAGTACATCCATCCTGACGGAAATCACATCAGAAGTTAAGGAATCACAGCACAGCTCAGCCAACATTTCTAAGCAAAGGAGAAATTCGTCACAAATTTATACGGAACGAGCGGTTTTCTTTGAGAAGGATTTTTTTTTTTTGGGGGGGGGGGGTCTGTTCAGGCTCTTTCGGCCTGAACAGACCATTGCAGAGCTACATGGCATATTAGGATATCCCATGTAGGGATATCAGGGGCATTGGGCTGCACGGGAAACCGACAGTGATCCCCGGGGGCGAGACCGTCCCGGTGGGACCGGATAGCACTGTTGGGGACAGTCCGCCCGCCTCCCAAACGGTCATCCCGGAGAGGATTATAACGGGTTCTGGTGTGGGCCCAACCTCATCCACCGGTTGCTGGGAGAGTCCGGAAATGGGGATGCGGATGAGTTGTCCTGAGGATGACGTGGACGGATGAGAGAATGAAAGTACAATAGGATCACCGGGATCATTCGGTATTTTTGGCTGACACCGTGCACAACGGACATGACAGACTAGTAGAAGAGCCATAAGTGAATCAAAAGCAATATAAAAATGTGACGAATTTAATCAATGGCCCCTGCAATACCAAATAATTACCGGTGATCCCGGATAATCACCCCTCATTTTCCGGATGTCGAACGCAAGGCAAAGCTACCCTGTACCCAGAAAAAGAAGTTAAAAAAATGATAATGGTAAATTGCCCTTTTGCCCCCAGTTGGAACATCCGGCTGGTTCCCCTGTTGACGCACCGTCCCAACCAGCATCCATGTCAAACAATCCAAGTCAGTCTTGAAAATTCGCGGGCAATCTGTCCTCGCCAATCACCAAAACATCCCAGGGCGATGCTGGGAGGGTGCTACCTCGAGTGTGTCGGTCGCTGGCTAGATGTCTCCACTTGCGTGCTCGGCGGTCGGCCGCCGGCGCTGCGGCCGCCCGGGCCCGCTGGGCGGCGCGGGGCGGCAGTCAGCGCGGCCGGCCGCCGGGTGTCGTCAGTGCGTTATTCTGTGCCCGCTCCCCCGCCCCGGGCTGCTCCAAGCCGCGGCCGTAACTCGACACCTTCCCACGTCGCGTCGCGTCTTATCATGGGCCGGTTGAACTCTGAGACCCGTGCCGAAATGTCCCCCATGATGGGTGCCAAAGACAGCGTCACCATGAAGAAGGACCTGGGTGTGATGAACGGTGTCGCCATCATCGTCGGCATCATCATCGGCTCCGGCATTTTCGTGTCGCCCAAGGGTGTGCTGGTGTACTCGGGCTCCATCGGCCTGTCGCTGATCATCTGGGCGCTTTGCGGCCTGCTCTCGATGGTCGGCGCACTCTGCTACGCCGAGCTCGGTAAGTGGCACCGCGCGAGCGCGCGCATTACTCGCGCCGCCGACCGCGCCACGCGGGGCGCCCCAGCTGTGCTCTATAGCGCTGCGCAGCGTCCCACCGGAGCGGCGGCCGGCCCGTCACAGAGCCGCCCAGCGCGCCCGGCCCGCCGGCCAGCCAGCCATTGGCAGGAAATGAGGGCCTCAGGATGAACCACTTGCAATGAACGGCCGGCCGCTCCATGAGAGACGGCGGTACGCTCGGACCCGGCCCCGGCACGTGGCGGTACGCCCGGACCCGGTCCTACGTCCGGACCCGGTCCGGCCCCGGCACGTGACGGTACGCCCGGGCCCGGACACGGTCCCAGCACGTGCCAGTATGGCGGGACCCGACCCTAGCACTGTCGGTACGCCGGACCCGGACAAGGCACGTGCTGGTACGGCCGGAGTGGGCCCCGGCACGTGGCCGTATGCCCAGACCTGGCCAGTGGCCACGGCAAGTCGTGGTATGCGGCTTTCGTGAGCCCCGCAGCACGTAGCACCTTGAGTAAAACCCAGTCGATTTTCCCGCAGAAAGCAAGACTAGAACTGTTTTCACTTAGTTGGCAAATAATTTCGACAAGGAACGTCCCAAAGCAAGGATCTTGTAATAATCTCTTTCTTCATACCAATCTCGAAAAAATGATGCTTTATTTTCCTGGGAAGGATCTTGACCTGAGATCAAGGTCGGGTCAAATAATACCTACCGTTGAAATGCGGTCAGGCCAGGGAACATGCCAAGAAAGAAGTAAAATCGCGTGCCATTTGTTTTGCCAGGCCATTCTGAGGTAGGTAACTTATGTTTTTTTCCGACGAGCTTTTTACTTTAGCGTGACAATATTAACCCGCGCCCTGATGGGGTCTGCCGAGCAACGCGGTCTGATGGGGGTTGGGGGCATTTTGCCCCCCCCTCTAAGATATCAAGAACCACGCAACATAGCGACAAGCGGCAAACGGCGTTGGATAGCCCCAACAGTGAAATTGGGTCACCTTGTGACCCAATTTCATTGACCTCGGTCAAACTGATGACGTCACAGGTCAGGTCAAAGGTCGAATTTTCACCGTTTACAGGCATTTCAAAAAATGCGTTGTAACATCGAATAAAATGCATTTCATTGAAAATCATCGATGGGGAAATGTTCGTCAAACACATAGGGGAGAGCGGGGAGAGTTGTATCATGTCCAAGTTGTATCAGGGCGAATTATGCCAAACTTATCCAATGGATGGCGCTCGTGATACGACCAGCCGACGAAGCTTTCCGGGCGCCATGTTTCCCTGTTCTGTCGTGTGGCTGGGTGGACGCGTCTCGAGGTGAGAACCAATTTTATGTTTTTTTTAATGTCATTCTAAAAAAATAAGTTGCAAGAAAATGTGTGTTTTGGGCATTTATATATGCACGAATTTGAAAGATCTCCGTAGTGGTGGTGAGGGTAGTTTCTAAGGCTGCGTGAGTGAAAATGGATTTCTCCAGCTGTCCGCTGTTTTTGAGCACGAGGATGTTTTTTTCCAAGATGGCGGCGATGTAAATGTTGTATCAGAGCCGGATGGGGTATGTTGTAACATGTATGTGTGTATGTATGCATGGGTGTTGGGTATGTTGTTTTTGATCGCGAAAGCTAAGCCCTGGCTCGCGTTTGTAGGTAGCTAGTCAATACTCGTTCAATTTCGGCACAATGTGTTGGCTTCTTTGCTCTTAAAGGGCCACTTTTGCGTCTAGTCTGTTGATGTTTCGTTCGGATTGCATTGACCTAAGTTTGGTCTAATAAAGTGAAGCCTTTGAGCATACCTATACATTTTATTAACCCCATTTAATGTTGTTGTTATGTTCAAAACCAGTAGCAAGCACACTCCCTGAAACGTGAAATAGTGATACAAATTACCCCACCATGTGATACAACTCACCCAAGCCATGGGGCAAGTTGTATCAAAAACATTGTTCTATTCGGCAGACCGTAGAAGAAAAACTGGTAGAGGTAGCGGAAAAGTTACTTTGCACAAAAAAAGCAGAAGAATCAAGGAAGGGGAATGGGGATAGTATGGAAATAATGAGTTTATCACGGATAGTTACGAGGTTATGGGTCTCGGAGTAAAAACTGATACAACCCACCCCACTTTCCCCTATTTTGCTATTTGAGGTCACTGATACCAGGTCAGGCCACAGAGGTCAGGTCACTGAGGGTCACAATTATAAAAATATCATGTGATGCATGTTTTATGGTCCATTTTATATGCCAAATGCGATTATGTGGGACAGGCAGCCCTTGGGGTCAGTTGAGATTATGTTTGGTGAAGTTCAGGTCAAGGTCAGGTCAAATTAGGTCAAATTTCAAAGTTGCATAAAATGGGTATCGATTCGATGCAGCTCGTCACGGGGATTACAATGGTGGTCTTTGTTTTGCGCTACTTAGTCTAGAATTGCTAAAATTGGAGCTAAAAATATGACGTCATAAATTTTGAACGTTTTTTTTTGTTATAACTTGGCCACAAAAGGAAGCATCGATCTAAAATTTGGTATGTATATCGGAGAGCGCAGAGACTAGTTTTTTCAAAGTTCGAAAAAAAAAATCGTTTTTTTTTTTGTTAAACAAATATTTTTTATTTAATTTTTGGGGTGAAAATCCCAAAATTTTGAAAATGCGAGATAGCAGTTTTGTAGCGCCGTCATTTCTCTACATGATCACATAAATAACTTTAAGATTGCTTGTTAACTGTAGATTTGGTGACCGTTTCAAGATGTCATGTTTTTTGCTCATTTTTACTCGAACATGACCTCAGTTTGACTTCAATAACTCCTGACCCAAGGTGAACTGTGACTTGAAATTTTATGTGAAGGTGTCAAATTGATGCCCGGGAAGGCCGTTTTATCACTATTTATGAAAAACCACAGGGGGCCAATATAGCCCCCCCGTCAGGGCGCAGGTTAACCCGCGCCCTGCTGGGGGGGGGTGTTTGAACACCCCCCCCCTGTGGTTTTTCGCGAATATCTCAAAAACGGCGGCGCGGAGCGCCGCCGTTTTTGGTACACCTTATCATACATCAATTCTACACATGTTGTGAAAATTTCAGACCAAGGTCATTCAAGGTCAGGTCACCAGGTCACTCGAAGTGACCTCACCTCATAAAAAGTTTCAATGTCTGTCATAGCTACACCGAGTGACCGATCGCTTTGAAACTTTCAGCGATTGCTAAGAGCATTAGCATGTACAAAATGTATATCTCAGAATTTTGATATCGATGACCTAAGGTCAGGTCAATTTTGCGACCTCACCATTATAAGTCAATGGGAGAAAATTGAAATGCGCCTGTTTTGGACGAAAGACATTATAAACACTCCCAAACACTGAATTACAAGTGGTTTAGACACACTGAACATGAAAATGGTGTCTGTGACCCCTGTTTATGCCCTGAGGTCATCTTAGGTCACGAATGGTATCTAACAGTTTTTCGCAAATAACTTTTGATAGAGGCATGCTAGAGCGATGAAAACGCCTTAGATGTGTTCAGCTCGACGATACGGATCGACTGATATGCAACATGACCCTTTCCGGTCAGGTCATGACCTTGACCTGAGGTCAAATTTTCAAGTTGACCTTTCAAGGTCAAATTATAGTTCGTTCGATGCGTCTTGACGAGAGGAACACGATGCCGGTAAAAGTAAGCTCGTACAATGCTTGGGTCAAAAGTTATTGCAGAAAAACTGTTTCCGAAAAAATCGGCTATTTTTGCAGTTTTTGCCCCCTGCAGGCAAAACCGTTGACGTTAGGTCAAATCTGAGAGAATTACTCAGAAAGGGCGTTAATAGGGCTATCGAATGCGCTTTTCCGCGGCGCTGTAGCTCTATTGGTTCCCGAGTTATGCGTTGGCTTCTTGGAAATTTTCGACATTCGACCTGGAAATCGGCGAAAATTTGCCTTCAATGACCTCTGGTGACCTGACCTTTGACCTGACCAAAAAATTGACCGAAGTGATTTCCTCATTATTTTTGACGCTCTTTCGAACGCCGCCTTCCGCGTATCGCTACGTGGCCCAGGAGCCGAGTTAGAAGGGGGGGTGTTCAAACACCCCCCCCAGCAGGGCGTGGAAATCCAGGACCCCCAGCCGGGCGCGGGTTAAAGCTTGTATACTCACAAAAGAAAAAGTTATGATAATAAGTGACCGCGATACAATCAGCCTAGGGTCAAAAATGCAGAACAAGCATTGGACCAGCTACGTGGCGCAGCAGAGCGAAAAATGTCAGTTGTTACCTAGCATTGGGTATTTCGATTATAGCGCTAAAACCGACGAATCTTGCTTATTTTCCCCTTGTCAGCTATCGGGGAGTTTTTTTTTTCTTGTAGGTATAATGCGTTTCGAGCAGTCGTGGGAAGCCAAAGGCGGAGGCACCGATCTCGGCCGGGGAGTGTCAAATATATGACTTTTTGGTTTTAAATAGGAAAAAAATCCAAGGAAAAAAAGAACGACTAATAACATGGCACTGAATGTGAATGCTTTATTGATAATTTCATAATATAGGTAATAGGTATCTATACAATCATCATGATAAAAGTACCTATCATCCTCCCAATGAAAATGACTGGAATTAGTACACACTTGAACATGTTATTTTAAATTTCAACATTACATTACGAATGGCACATCGTGAATCGCTAAAAATCTTATCATTTATGACATTTTAAGATAGGGCCCTGACATAAATATCCCCATCTGGATTCAATGTGTTCTTTCCTTGTTTCCTGTTTGACGGGGCTCTGTCAGTTTCGGCGACTTCTGATGTAAACAATTCATCGCATGTGATCAGCACCAGGCACCAATTGTTGGAGACGGGGATGTCAACGGTTCCTACAGCGCTCAGATTTTGAGCATTTGGAGTTTGGACAAATAATTACTGCAAATCATGTCTAAATGCCACGAAAGCGGAGCAATGTCTACCCAGGCGTGCGGTATACAGTATGCAAAATGCGTGCTCGTTGGTAGGCATTCTAAAC